GTTGTCAAAGTGATCGATCATATACCACTTATAATCGATCATATACCACATATGATAGCGGTTCCAAGTTAACCGCTATCTAAGACATAATTTTAATAGCGGTTTCTTCGAGAACCGCTCTCTTTAGTGTGTTTAGATAGCGGTTGTGGGAACCGCTATCTAAAGTCCCAATATAAAAAAACACAGTCAGAAAGAGAGCGAGAATGAGAGCGCAGAGAGCGAGAATGAGAGCGTAGAGAGCGGCAAAAAAACACAGTCAGAAAGAGCGCGAGGTTGAAGAAAGTAGGAGGGAAGAATGAAAAAGAATATGACTTTAGATAGCGGTTCACTCCTAACCGCTCTTTAAAAGTATGACATTAGATAGCGGTTACTTCTGAACCGCTAACACAACATACTTTAGTGAGCGGTTCACTCACAAACCGCTATATTATATGTCTTTTTAAAAGCGGTTGTTATTAACCGCTATCTAAAGTGTCGTCGCTCAAGCGAAATTTACATCGCTCGAGCGACGCTACCTGCCACAACTCTTCGCCTTTAATATCTTTTTATTCGATAACACTGTGCATTTAATATTTTTTATTCAGTTGTCGAATGGATGTTTAAAACCGGTTGTCAAAATATCAGGACTCTTTCTAAATATTTGAAAGGGGCTTTTATTAATTATTGCTTATTTTTATTTTACATTAAAGTGATTATTTTGTTGAATTTTATATTATTAAATATTTTAAAGGGGGTTTTATTGTATAAATATTTTTTTTATTAAAAGCTATTGCTGGACGTGACACACATGTTAAGGTTCCGTCATTAAGTAGTAAACACGTGGTGCTTGACAAGCTTTTTCTCGTATGGTGACAAGTAAACAAACATTATAAGTAGCAATGCCTTGGAAATGCCCCTAATGCCACTTTAATAGTTTTCTAAACGAATGGATGACTTTAGAGGTAAAATTGATTGTTATTAAATGAACTAGTAAAAAATTATAAATAAATTATTTTAATGGGTTTTATTAAATTTTTTTATTAGATTTCTCAAAAAAAAAGTTATTATGTTATTAAAAAACTTGATCTACAATTTTATTTTAAATACATTAAGTAGAAAATCATAAGCATGTGCGTAATCTATAATTTAATGTAATCAATATTATATACAACTTATTTATATCTTATTATTTGGGGAATATATATATATATATATATATATATATAAAGAAATTAGGAGAGTAATATATTGAAATATACAATAATAAAATGTCAAATCTATTTGTATATGTTGCGGGTCTGTATCCTAAAGTATTTTCTATCAAATTAAATTTAGAATGAATTAATTATACTTAACAGTTATTTTAATATTTTTATTTAAATTGAATTTCAATTAGTAAATACGAGTGATAATAAAAAGTAAAAGCAATACAGAACATAATGATAATTAGAATTATACTAAAAATAATAATAAAATCTTTTATTTTCAATTAGAAAGACATTTTGTATTAATGATAAATAGATAAGAATCTTGCAGTTTTCTAGTATACTCTAATAATAAATGAACATTCCTTTAGAAAATCAATAAATATGAATTCAAATAAACTTGGAAATAAGAATTCACTCAATATCAATGCTAACTACTAATCAATAGAAGTTATTCAATATCAATGTTTTATAAAATTATAAATAAATATATATATATATATATATATATATAATATTATTAATATAATTGTTAATTATTAAACTCAATAAATATACCATGTTATCAAATATAATAATAATAATTATTATTATTATTATTATTATTATTATTATTATTATTATTATGAGTATGCAATTTATGTGAGTTAAGAGTAAAAGTGATAAAATGAGAATAAGTTTGAAGTTTGACCGTTTAAGTTAAAAAAAATTATAAATAAAAAAGTTTAAACATTCAAATTTTATTATCATAAAATTATCATCGTTCTATAGTTTTTTTTCTCTCTGTCTTCTCTCTAAAATATTTTGCTCCATCTCTCATCTTTTTTCTAGATCCAAGTGCACCTTAGTGCTCTTGAAAAAGAGGAGATCGATTCTATTTGCTTAAAATTTTGAATTGAGTAAGTTTTTCTTTTCTTAATTTTGTTCTTTTGAATTGTGAAGGTAACTTGGCCATATTTTTTGAGTTTTAGGAATTTGAATTGTGTGATAACATATGTATTGATTTGTGATGATTGTATTGAATGTGAATGCATAAGTGATTTATATAAGATTGAGAAAGATAGTCTTTTGCATGAATGTATTGTTCTTGGATTGAATTTAGTGAATTGATTTACAATAAGAAGGGTAAAGTTTAAAATTAATTTGATTTAGAACATTAAAAATAGGGTATTGAGTATATTACACAATATGCTACTATCACGAATCCGCCCAGCGAATTTAATATAGTGTTGAAAGCGCTTGCAATTTGCTTTGCACTTTTAAATTTGTCCAACGAATTTTAGACAGTGTTGGAGGTTCCATTTTATCAAAATTTTGCTCAACACTTTTAAATTTGCTCAGTAATTTTCAAAAAATTATATAAAATAGCTCTGAACTCCAAATTTAATGTTCTATATATGAAAATCGAAATCCTGAAAATGAGGAATCCAATCAAATAAAAATTAGTTAAAAAGGATGTGAGAAATGATGTGTATTTGTCTTAAGCTATTAAAATACATGTTATGAACATGAAATAAGATGTGTTCAATGTTATTATATACCTTGAAAAATTTTGTATTGTGATATGAGAATTATCAATATGTGTAGTGTTGTATGTATAAATATTAATTTGGGACTCGAAGAGATATCCTGACTCTACTGATCATTAAAATTACATAGATGAAAGGATTAGGTGGTGAGAGTTGAAAGAAGTTTATAATGATTTAGCCTACGATGTGATAAAAAATTATGTTTTGATAAGTCATTTAGGAATTTACTCTGGTCATACATGAATGTATATACCAAATTAAGTACTCTTATGTTATGCACTTGGGGAAGTTATGGTGTAACATGTGCATATCTTTAAATGTCTATTTCAACATCTAGTCTTCCGAAAGTCCTCTAATGTCTATGCGACGTGAATGTGAGCATGCATGGATGTGTGATGTGATATATGAAAACCTGAAGTTAAATTATATTGATTTATCTCACAATTGAATCTTACATACTTAAATTGAATGACTAGCTTATCATGTGTGTTTTGTATGTCTTTTTAACTATGGCAATAGTATATTTACACACGAGCATATTTTATAGGTGATAGATCTCACCAGGAGTAGGTTTGAAATTTAGAGTTAAGAGTAATATAAATTTATATTTTGTTTACTTTTGAAATAATAAATACGTAAATATATATTTCCCAAGAAATTTATAATTTAAAATATTATGTGCATCTCAATATATATATATATATATATATATATATATATATATATAATGTATAATTTTGGGTTGTTATAATAATAATAATTATTATTATTATTAAATGAAATATTTATAAAAATACTGAATTAATAATATTAAGTATTGCATTAATATTACAGCATAATATTATTAATTTGAAATATTTATAATTTATTAAATACAATTAAGTTATTTAAATTATTAGATCCAACTGTTATATAAAACTTAAAAATTTTATAAATGCTAAATATTTTTCATATATAGACGTATAGAATTTTAAGAAAAAACTAATTAAAATAGTACATATAATAAGTCTTGCAAGATGGTGTATTACAACAAGAAGCATATGCTCAAATGGGAAGAGTTTTTATTTAAACATTATGTTGATCATAAAAATACAACTTCAAAAAATAATATTCACAGGATAAGTTTTTAATGTTATATTTATTTTTTAAAATATAATATAGAATAATTAAAATAACTCGTATTTCAGTGTAAAAACATTAGCATTTAAACTCTAAAAATATTTGAAAAAAAAAAGTTTCCTTTGGATATATCTGCTTCAATTTTTCATCATTTTATTATTTAAATTATATATAAAAATATAATATAATTTGATTTAGCTTAATTTTAATTTAATACAAAATTTTAATAAAATTAAATTAATATTATTATTTTAATTTTATAAGTTTTCCTTATATATTATTATATATTTTATGATAAAACATTCTTAAATAAAAAATATATTATGGAATTTCTGTTATATTATTATTATATTTATAAATTTAATTCTTTTATATTTATAAATAAATTTGTAATTTTATAATTTAAAATTACAATTCAAAATTATTATGATATATTTGATAATTTATAAATATTATCCAATTATAAAATAATCTTCTAATTTATATTATAATTATATATTTATTAATTGATAATTAATTTCAAATATATATTTAAATATAATAAGTAATTTAGTTTGATTTAGTTTCTTTCTTAATTTTTAATTTTTTATTCAAACTAAATTAGGTAATAAAAGTATATCTAAAAGATATTAAAAAATTCAATTCACATGGATTTTTGTAATTTTTGTTTATCATTTTAATTTTGAACATCCTATATAATATTTTTATGCATTTTTTTATTTTCTATCACATTAATTATTTTATTTATATTAAAATATTATTTATATACATTTTAATAAAAAAATGACATAAAATACAGTAAAAAGCAGTTATGCTTTTCAAAAAAAAAATGTTAAACAGGGACTCTGGATATAAGATGTGAGATGCTAAACCGTAGAATTTATAATATATATATATATATATATATATATATATATATATATATATATATATACATTTTAATTAATTTAATATTCTTTTTCGAAGATAATAATTATAAAACATTATTATAATACTTAAAGAGGATTGTCTAATAATAAATAAATAAAAAGTATTCAAAGTGGTATTGTTCATATAAAGTAGTATTTTTCATATAATAAAACCAGCCTCTTCTTCAACCTCTTTGCCTCAAACACTTTCTTCCTGGAGACTCGCATACCACAGAGAAAGTTAGTTAGAAAGAGAGAAAATGTCACCTTTTTACTGTGTGAAAGAAAGAAAACCATGTGTGAGATGGGTGGAGAAATATTTCAAGGATTGCCTCTGCAATATGAAAGATGAAATCTCCTTCACTTTCGGTATCACAAGTCTAGTGTGCTGGGGAGTAGCTGAAATTCCTCAAATAATAACCATTTTTCATACTAAGAAAAGTCATGGAGTATCCCTTGTCTTTCTCCTCACTTGGGTCGCTGGGTTAGTCACACCATTTTTTTATTTTTTTTCTTTTCATTTGGGTCATGGTGTAACTCTCTTTATCTATCCACTTTCTAATTTTTAACTAAATCCTTTTTATCATGTCCACTAATAAGGCACTAATTAGCTTGATTAATTAATTAATTAATTATAAATCATGAGTTGTTAAAAATTATATTGTGGAATATTTGATGCAGGGATATATGCAATTTGACTGGTTGTCTTCTTGAACCGGCTACTGTAAGGAATTCTGAACCATGTATTTGCACTGTGTTAATTTGTTTGAGCATGATGGTGGTCCTGAGAGAGGGAGAAAACCCTGACATGCAACTGAGTGGCCTTAGTCTCTCCCTAATCATCATATTCTGTATCACACTCACACAGTCAATTTTATTTTTGTCTTCCTTTAATTTCATGTTGTTGTGGACTTAAGGTGTATCTCTTTTTTCTGCTTCTTTTTTGGAACGATTCATGGGTGGTGCAGTTGCCAACACAGTATTACACAGCTCTGGTAAATTAATTGCAAATCTCAGTTTTTTTCTAGATTCTGTGTAGTTTGTTATCTTCTTGTACTATTATTAGTTTTCTGTAGTTTATTATTGTGGTTAGTTGATCTCAGAATCCTTTAATTAAAATGAATGATCATGAATATATAATCTGATATTCAATACCCTGTAGTATCTATTTTGTAAAACTATAGTAATTGGGGAGAATGTGGGAAAGGATTAGAAGATCAATTTAGTGCTGGACACGTGTCAGCTGTTTGGCCCCAAACCTTTGTGATAGCTAGCCTGTAGATTAACAAATTTTTCCCAGACTCTGCTGCATCTAGCTAGCCTGTAGATGAATTTCATTATGATAATTCTTCATTTTAACCAACCAAAATTGCATCCTGATCTTATTAATGAGCATTGAATGTTGTGATTCACAGCTTTACACAATCACTACGATCGTATTACTACTGCAAATCATATATTATGACTACATAAGCAGTTGGTACAAACTTCGTGGGAAGGACAGCCACAAAAGGGTACACTTCCAATTTCTTAGATTCCTTCTAATCAATTAATCAAATGTGCAATTCACACACGTTATTTTTTGGCTCAAATTAGTTAAGTATCAGTTGAAGGATCAACATATCATAGTTTGTTATGTTACAGGATCAAGAAGAAGAGAAAAAACCATTGAAACCACCGAAACCAACTAACCAGTCGGGCATTCCAATACCACCAAATGGCAGACCCAAAGCAGTACCTAGACAGGAGCACTATTATATGTACGCATGTAGTTTCTTCCAACAATTATACCTAATGTGCATTGTAACGCTGTTTTATTTTTTTTTATCTTGGTAATAAAATCTTAATGAGGACGTAATGAAATGAAGAGTATTTTTTTTTAATTGAATTGGATTAAATTAATTGTGCAGGTCTGCTAGATCATTGGCTGGGAGTGGCACTCCACCCTGGGGAACTTACATGAGAGCTGCTAAAAGTGGTCCTTCAGCCATGGAATACATCAGTGACTCTTCCGAGGATGAAGCTCCTCCACTTTCCTCAAAACATAATGCAAGGCCAATCCCACGTCCTGTAGCTGTGAGTTCTTCAACTGTTTTAACATTCTGCATAATCAGATAATTTTTTTCAGAGAAAAAATAACTTAAAACAAGGCAATAACGTCACACAAATACTCAAGTCTTTACACGCCAAAACTTACTTTTTTATATTCCTAAAATTTGTCTTGCATGCTTATTATGGTCTAAATTTTATCCCTAAAAAGGGTACTTATAATGCCTTAACATTTCAACTTTACCCTAAACCCAGAAGTTTTCTTTCCTTGCCCAATGATGGTCATTTCTATTCTGGTACAATTTGTCTCCCATATTTGTCTCCTCATGTATACTAATAACACATAGTACAATTTTGTTAATTAAACTATGCACTTTTCAGGGAAGCTATGGGACATTTCTAGCAGCTGCTGTTAGTTGGCCTCTCGAGGCTAATGCTTTGAGGGAAGGATACATAAGATTTGGCGGAAGAAAACTTTTGCAGGTGAGACTTGCCAGTGGTACTGCTACCTTAATTTATTCACACTTATCATTTTGTTTAGTGTTATTTTTCCTGTGCATAACTATAGTTGCTAGTTGCATATAACTAATGCTGGTCACAGGAAGACGAGACACATAGTACATATGGTCAATGGTTGGGATGGTTCATGGCTGCTATCTATATAAGTGGTCGGTTTCCTCAAATATGGTTGAACGTAAGTGTCAAAATAAACCATGCATTTTTTTCTTCTCCGGTTTGATCTATTATATTTTCTATATAAGCTTTTTCTCTACTGATAAGTTATCTTAAACTGTTGATTGATCAGATTAAAAGAGGCAGTGTGGAGGTAATATTCAATAATCTTAATCTCTTGCTTTCATATTAGAACTAATTGTGAAAAGATTAATAAAATTTCAACATTTTTATGTGTGCTTTCCCTTTTCTTTTATCATAACAGGGTTTGAATCCTTTCATGTTCATCTTTGCATTGGTCGCTAATGTCACTTACGTGGGAAGGTTCCAATCTCCATCCCCTGCTCATAAATTTGCATCCAATTATTGTTTATTCTTCAAATTAACTTAAATAAATTTATAACTCTAATAACACTTGTTGATGCAGTATTCTTGTGAGGACTACAGAATTGGAAAGTATCAAAGCTAATATGCCATGGTTATTGGATGCAGCATTGTGCGTGGTGTTGGACCTTTTAGTATCCTATACACGTAGTTCTTATTGCAGATTATTTATGTTGATTGCGATGATATCTAACCATAAGCAATATATTGTTAAAGAAAGTGGGATTTTGACCAAAACCTTAACAATATTGACAGATAATATTGCAGTACATCTACTATAGATACTTTGGAAGGAGAGAAGGAAAAGGGGAGGGCAATGAAGAAGAGGAAAAAGCTGCATCATATTGACTTTTGTTGTGCTTGGATACTTTGAAATTGTTCTGTTGATCTAATGACTAACAAATGTAGTGTGTTTATGGGAAGTTACGACTATGCTTGTTCTGAGATTGTTTACACTCCCTCCTTCAATGCAACTCTCAATTCCACAATGTCTTGTAGTTTCCTCTCCAGCACATATGCCTGATGATTCACCATTCATACTACTACAAAAGAAAAAATTATTAAAATAATCACAAGTTACACGTTTTCATATTCACAAATACAATTTCATTCCCTTTTGGTGCTTAAAGTCAATTGTTATGCTTAAAAATTTTATGGTAATAAAAATTAATCTAATTTGAACTTCATGATTTGTTTTGATTCACATTTTATATTAAAATTTAATTAAATCAAATCATAGTTGTTGATCATTTAATAAAAAAATTGAAATAATTTCAAATTGAAGTGTAAAATATTGGTTTGATCCATACAATCAAACTAAATCACATTTAATTTTTACAAAAGTTAAAAAGACTATTTAATTAAAAAGAAAATAGAAAACCCTACGATGGCTACGCCTGAATAGCAAAAGGAGTTTGGAGCAAATCGTAGGGAGCCCACAACTCGTCCAAAGGACAAGGCCTATTGGCGTCGAGCCTGGCCCAAGGCTTCCCCTTCCCACTCCAATGCAGCAGGCTCACGGGTCCAGGATGCAGTTCCCGGCAAAGCCCATGAAAATTATCCCCGCCGAGCCCGTGCTGGTTCCACCGCTGATCCACTGCCGCAATCCTCCCAGCGAACACCAGCAGGAAAGGCGGAAGCGACCCGAGCTCGTAGATCCGCATCCTCTTCTGCAGCTCCATCCACTCCTCGATCGCCGTCGTGTAGTCCCCTGCTCGCCACCGCTGGAGGTCGATCACCATCACGCCGGTGTTGAAGTAGCACGGTCGCTTCCGGTTCGCGAACGATAGCGAGAGCGAGGGATTGGACCAGAACGAGGGCGTGAAGTAGGCGGAGAAGTCGGCGGAACAGTACTCCGGTGCGGCGAGGACCGCGTCCTCCCCGAGCGGCGTGGCAGCGAGTTTTGCGATGTCGTCGACGAGGATTAGGTCGGAGTCGATATAGACGACTCTGGTGACGCAGCGAGGGAGGAGGTTTGAAAGGTAGCTTCGCGCGTAGTTGAGAGGCGTGTCCAGGGCGGAGCGAATGGAGGTGGAGATGAGGCGCGAAACGGCGTCGTCGTCGAAGGGGTACATTTGGAAATTCAAGTAAGGGAAGGAAATGGTTAGTGTTTGGTTTAGAGTTGCGAAGGTGGAAGGTTTAGAAGCTGCGGAGACGAAGTGGAAGATTACGTTCTCCGGGCATGAGGAGTGTTGGAGCACGGAGAAGATTGCCGCCATGGAGCCTCGCAGGTACGCCACGTCCAAGGTCATTGCCACATGGACTGCGTTCGTGGGGCACGTTGGATTCGTATGATGCTGGAGGGTGTCGCACGTGGGAGAGTTGTAGAATTGTGGAGCTTCTTTAAAACGTTGTTGAGTGGAGGTGGTGGTGGTGGTGGTGGTTTGCGTGGAGAAGACGACTATGGTACATTGGAATGTGAAGAAGAAGAGGAAGAAAAAGAAAGATGTGGTGGTAGGTGCCATTGGTGGCCTGTGTGACCAATGTGGCATTTGATTTGAATATGATTGTAAGGATGCGCCTAAGATGATATAAAACAAGAAATGAAAACTGGGAGACAGGGAAAAATAGGAAGGTTTTAGGAAGTCTTATGTGTACTATGTTTCATTTTGTCTGGGATTTTTCCATTTTTAACTTCCCTTGTACGAAGAATGAGCTGTCTCAGACCTAAGTCTACTCTATGATTCTCAATTTCATCTTTCATCATATTTATCATTATTATAATCATTAATTTTATATTTGTTTTCTTTTTCATATTGTAATAAAAAAGTAAAGTCATGCTTTAGACTCTTGTCTCTCTATCTCACTTTCTATATCTAATATATATTGTTATATTTCTTCAAATACTTCTGTTCTCTATTTAGATAACCTTGTGGTACTCAAAGTTGTATTAGATAATCTTCTCCTTGATAATAAGAAAAACTAAAATAAAATCACTTTTTATAAATTAAATTAACTAGCATATAAATTAAAATAAATAAATAAGTTATATCAAAAATTAGATTAAATTATGAATAAATTATTAAAAAAATATACATCGAATAAAATTATCTTGTACAATTTAAAAAATTAGAATTTATTTTTATATAAATTAATTTTAGTCAATAATACATTTTTTTATGAAATTGTTATAAATCTAATCATGCCCAATTTTCACAATTGTTGCAGTCATCTGGTTTTTAGTCTCTTCGTTTGTTTTTAAAAAAATGGTAAAATGAACAATGATTAATACATAAAAATGAGTAAAAATGAATATTTATTTTTATGTTTATAATTTTAATATATATATATATATATTATTATTTCAATAAAATATCATGAATATCAAAATAATTAAAAAAATTAGGATAATTTTATATATTTTTATTTTATTTTTAATATGATATTATTTTATGAATAAAAAATTAATTAATAATTATATGAATAATTTGATAATAAATAAATATTTAATTTTAATTCAATTATTTATTATTTTTTAAAATGAACATTTTTCTTTTTTATGTAATTTTCTTCTTAAAAAAATGTTTTTTTTTCACATTTTCTCAATGAACATAAGCTTAATAAAATATTTTTCGTGAAAAAGTTCTATTAACCGAGGTTCATAAATATATATATATATATATATATATATATATATATATATGTATATATATATATATATGTATATATATATTGAAAATTTATAGTTTAACATCTTGTTTTAAGTAAATATTATTCAACAACTTATTTTGATATTATAATAATAATTAAATTAAAAAATATATTTATTAATATATTATTATTAAATAGAGTTGTATAATTATTATATAATTAAAGATAGTTATATAATATTTCAATGTTCTATTTTTATTTTATTCAATTCCCACGCGAAAGAGTGATAACTGTACGTAATCTATGTTTATAACTAAATTGATCTTCCATTCAATACGTCAAAACTTTGGCATATATAACAAAACCTTATGTATCTATATATAACAGATTAGTTAATTACATACAAAGAAAAAGAATCTATATTAGTAGAAACTTTTATTAAAGTTTAGAGTTATGAATATGAAACTGGGTAGGTTGGTTAGGCATAATTCACTTTGTAAATGAGTTGGTTTAATATGTTCTATTTGATATTTATATTTTAATATTAACAAGTATGTATGTGTGACTACAAAGTTGCATTTAACACCCTACTTTTTCTATACAAACCAAGTAAACGTAGGATCGTGAGTCTCACATGCCCTTTCGTAAGGGCAGTTCATGTTTCATCGAAGCAATTTTTTTAATATGTCCACGTTCGCAAAGACAAAACAAGGATTGTGTAAAGAAAAACTTAATTGTTAAATAATGTATAATAAAAAAGTTTTTCTATTCCTTTTTCTTTCATTTTTAAACCACAACTATGATATGAAGGACATTTGTTAATACGCACATTTATAAATAATATTCTAATTTAACAAGACCCATAAAATAAATAAATATATAAGTTAGAAAAGTCAAATGGCCACCGACACATGATGGCTGGCTCTCACGGCCGAAGACGGTCGAAAAAGTCATCATCTGCTGAAAGGTATATTTAAAGAATTTTTTTAAAAAAATTACTTATTTTATAAATATAAGTTCTTTAAAATCTGTGAAAATTATTTATATAAATAATTTATGTCAAACAAAAAATGTTCTTAGTTCACTGTATCGACTTTTATCTATTCTTTTCTTTTATAAAATAAATTACATTTCAAAACCACTGTATATATTATAATTATTCTCTAGTGGTTTGTCATGTTCCCTGCGCGTATTTTGGGTCTGGCATTTGGAGAAATTATATGCACATACCAGACAAAGCAACATTTTTTTTTTCATTAATTGCAGATTTTGAACCGACACCATCCACGCTGGCATGATTCTCCACTTTTGTTACTGTCATAGACTCTTAATTTTCAATTAATATATTTAAACTGTCTTTGACTTTCATTGCAAATAAAACTAATTAAGTATTCAAAATAAAACAAAAATAAAAATAGTGGGAGGAACTTTATAAGCTTCCCTTATTTGACTGTTTGGAGAGCATTAGGATTTGTTTGGTAGCGTGAAACATAAATTTAACCAACTTCCAAAGAAATAATGATTAATTATACTCATTCTATTAGTTGAGTCCTACCTGAACATTGGATTTTCTTTCCTCTCGTTAAAACACGAAACAGTCAAACACATGGACGTTAAAATACCACGGACTCATGGCCTCAATGAACAAATACCAAACTTGCCTGATTTTAATGCCAAATATTGTGTATGTTTTAGAGTGCAACACGTCCAAATTTTCAACTTAAATGCTAAATTGATATTGCGGTTCATCGTATACATGAAATTTCTTCACACTCTTAACAAAAATATGGTACATTGTCTATAAAACCAATATCTAATAATATTAGAAATAATTGGTAAGATATTTCCTGACAAAATTATTTCAATTTTTTTTATTTAATATAATCAAAATCAGGGACATAATTCAGTTTTTAGCTTAGTGAGTCATAGATAAAATGTCCTTCAAATCAAATGATTTTGAGGGAAATTACAAACCAGATTTATTTAATTAGTTCTCTTATGTTTTCTTATGCTGGTTGTGATAGAGTACAATTTGATTTAGAGATTATTAGTTATAAAATGGTCAGTTGTAAGTATACATACAAATGAAATCATAACCCCTCATAGATCCTCACCACATGTGTACGTGAGTCAAACTCAAGTACCAAATTGAGTTAGAGATAAAGCCACGTTAGTGTCATAAAAAGTCAAAAAAGTCGAGTGTTGTTCTGGTGAAGCATTTGTCTCTGCATGTATTTCAGAGGTGGTTATAAGCAATTAGAGTTTCACTCCTAAAAATATAAGTTAATCAATTATTTATTAGAAGAAATATCCACTGTCTTGTATATTATATAACATAACTCCTTTATGCTTTATTAATTGACACAAAAGCTGCGATTCATTTTCTTCTATTTGAATTAGCGACACATATTTTTTTTATTCTTATGACGATTTCGTTTTATTTACAGGTTTTTTGTACATAATCGAATAAGAAACATTCTTTTAGAAAATAAGTACTCAAAAACTTTTATTATTTTTTCACACATATTTACATGAACTGAAATAGTATTTAATGGTGTCTAGTTTTGTTTCTAGTACAGAATCAAAAATCTATTAATCTAAACCGTTTTCTTGTTACAGTTTTGAGTTACAAATAGTCAACACCCCCTTAAGCCAAAACTCTAGTCTAGTCATCCCCAATTTTTCCTTAAGCTTGTCAAATCGCACTGGCTTCAACGGTTTGGTAAAGATGTTCATTATTTGTTCTTTTGTGTTACAATAAACTAGTGTCAGCTTCTCCTTGCTCACTTGATCATGAAGGAAATGAAATTTCGTATCAATGTGTTTACTCCTTTTGTGTAGTGTAGAATTCTTAGACAAATTAATTGTTGATATGTTGTTAATGTTAAGTTGAACTAATTTCCTGTAACTCAGCTTCAGCTCCTTTAGAATTCCTTCTATCCATAAACTCTAACAAGTTGCTTTTGAAGCAGCTTTGTATTCTGCCTCACACGAAGACAGAGTCACCACCTTCTGTTTCATAGAGCACCACGAAATTGGTGCACCTAAGTATCTGAACAAGTACCCATAGGTGCTTCTCCTTTCAACCTTGTCTCCACACCAATCTGAGTCAGAGAATGTCTCTAGTACTGCTTCATTCTGTTCATCCACTTTTGGAAAAAATATTCCCCAATCTGTAGTACCCTTTAGATACCTCAGTATGTGCTTGGCAGCAGCCACGTGGGGGGTTCTTGGGTCATGCATAAACCTACTTATCAAACCAACTCCGAAACTCAAATCTGGCCTACTATTACAAAGGAACCTTAATGAGCCAACAATTTGCTTATACAGGGTTCCATCCACAACCTCAGCCTCCTTTTCTTCTGTCAATTTCAGCCCAGGTAATACTGGAAATGCTGCTTCATTACATTCATCCATTCTGAATCTTTTCAGAACCACCTCATCATACCTCTTCTGATGTAGAAACACCCCTTAGTTTATGTGCACGAACTCAAGTCCAAGAAAATAGTTTAGTCTTCCTAGATCAGTCATCTCGAATTCAGTCTTCATTCTACTTTTAAATTCCTCAATTTTTGCCTCCACACTTCCTGTAACAATCAGGTCATCGACATACAAGCTTACAATGAGTATGTTTGCATGACTTGTGCTTTTCACATACACTCCAAACTCAATTGTGCACTTCATGAATCCCAATTTAGCCAATATTGCATCAATTAGTTTGTTCCAGACTCTAGGGGCTTGCTTGAGCCCATACAGAGTCGTTCGCAGCCTGTATACTAAATGCTTTCTTCCTTCCTTCTCAAAACCAGGTGGCTATACAATGTACACCTCTTCTTCTAGTGGGCCATTAAGGAAAGCTGACTTCACATCCATCTGAATCATCTTCCAGCCTTTGGAACTTGCCACTACTATAACCAATCTCACAGTTTCCATCCTAGCTACAGGGGCAAAAACCTCTGTATAATCAATTCCTCGTTGTTGTAAAAAACCTTTAGCCACCAACCTAGCCTTGTATTTGGTTACAAACCCATCTGGTTTTAACTTCATTTTGAAGACCCATTTCACATCTATAGACACTTTATCCTGTGGTAAGCCAACCAACTCCCAAGTTCTATTATTCTCAATTACCTCCAGCTCCTCCACCATAGCATCCTTCCATTCTCTGATCTTCAGCGCCTTTCTCCATGTAATAGGCTCTGTATCTACCATTAGTGCCTGGTGTGCCAAATCACCCGTGGATGTAATCATATTATCATCAAACACCTCATAACCAGCAAGTCTGGTGGAGGAAAATCCCCTTCTCTAGGTTTTGCTACTTTCTGGAACAGCATTTAGGGCTTCAATTTTTTCTTCCAGACTACATGGAAGATGTGTCACCGGGTCACTATCTTCCTCCCAACTCCACAAAGCTGACTCATCCACAATAACATTTCTGCTGATTACTACTTGCTTCTTCTCTGGATCATACAACTTGTAGGCTCCTATTGGGTGATATCCTATCAAGATTAAGAGCTCACTTTTATCATCCAATTTCTTCCCTCTTTCATCCGGAATGTGTCTGTGGCAGATATATCCAAATACCTTTAAATGTTGCACGGATGGCTTAACACCTGACCATATCTCCTCTAGTGTTACTGTCTCCATTTTCTTCATAGGGCATCTGTTGAGTATGTAGGCAGCAGTAGTAACTGTCTCTCCCCAATAACAATGTGGCAAATTCTTTCCTTTCAACATACATCTTTTCCTATCAACCAATGTCTTGTTTCTCCTCTCAGCCAACTCATTGTATTGGGGTGTATATGGTGCAGTCACCTCATGCACTATTCCTTTCTTTTCACAGGAATTGTCAAACTCCTTGGACCTATACTCTCCACCTCCATCTGTTATGAGAACTTTCACCTTCTTCTCGAATTGTCTCTCAACTACTGGACAAAACTTTCACCCTTTTCTTTCAACAGATAGATCCAGATTTTTCTTGAAAATTCATCCACAAATGTGAGAAAATATCTATTTCCTCCTAGTGTAGGTGTATCTAAGGGGCCACAAATATCCGAGTACACAACCCTTCAATATTTTCTTGGCCCTTTTCGGTGCAGTGACCTTAAAAACCTTTCTAGGCTGTTTTCCAATCACACATCCTTCACAGACCTTGGTTGGTAGCTTGATCTCTAGCAATCCACTCACCATCTTTCTACTGCTAAGTTGATTCAGGCTCTTGAAATTTAAATGATCATATTTGTAGTGTCATAACCAACTCTCTTCCTCCACACTAGTAGTAGATAAGTACCGAATTTCAGTAGTATTCAGCTTCAACTTGAATGTTCTATTTTTGGATAATGGAGCCTTGATCACTAACCTCTGTTGTGAATCAAATATCTCAATAAATTTTTGTTGCATGTTCATGGTAAATCACTTCTCCAATAGTTGTCCCAGACTGAGTAGGTTATTCTTCATGCCTGGAACATATAGAACATCATTCTTATAGGCCACTTTTCCATCCTTTCTCGTAATCATCATCCTTCCAATTCCCTCTGCTATAATGGAACTGTCATCTGCAAATTTTACATTGTTCTTCACAAATGGATTAAGATCAATCAAACAGTTTTTGTTTCTAGTCATGTGGTTGGAACATCCTGTGTTCAAATACCAAACAATATTGTCCTCCCCGCTGTCTGTTGTGGCCATTAACAATACTTTGTCAAAATCAGATTCACCACATTTCTCTTGTGCCATGTTTGCTTCTTCTTTCTGCCCATTCTTTGAAGTGTCTTCCTGTCAGCATTTGTTGCAGTTATAGCATTGTTTCTTTCTTTTGTCATAAAACTTTTTTCCTCTTCGTCTATTCTGATTCTCACCTCTACCTCCAGACACAATTTTACCAGAGTTGTCTTGATTCACTGCATCACTGTTTTTGCCACCATTTCTGCCTCCAGATCTTCCACTGGACCTTCCTCTGCCTCTTCCTCTCCAGTCATTTCTGCCTCTTCCTTCGTGACTCACTTTGGCCTGTAATGCTTGCTCTAATACCTTCTCACCATTATTCCTTTCATTCACTCTTTGTTCATGTGCTTCGAGTGAATTATGCAGTTCCTCCACTGTCATCTCATCAAGATCTTTTGACTCCTCTATGACCATCAAAATGTGGTCAAATTGTGGGGTTAAGGTCCTCAACACCTTCTCAACAATCTTATTGTCTTCTATGCTCTCATCACATGCCCTCATGACATTAGTAATCACCTGTAACCTCCCAAAATATTCAGCCACTGTCTCCTTCTCATTCATGACAAGGAGTTCATATTGTCTCCTTAAGGACTGCAACTTCACCTTTTTCATCTTCCCAGAATTTCCATACCCATTCTGCAAAATCTCTAATGAGTCCCTAGTTGCCCCAGAGGCGGGAGAGGTCATTCCTAGGAGGATTACTAGAAGCATGACTAGAAGGGAGACCTCCTCTTTACCTTCCATTTTGAATTTACTTAGTATCTTTACTTAGTATTTTCTTTTTCTAAGTTTTTCACTTATTTTGCTTTCTTTTTGTAGGCTCACTTTTTGCACCTCCTTTTTGAAGAATACCACCTTTTTTTTTGGTGGAAAAGAAGCCTTGGATCCATAGGATACATGCATGGGCAGCCCAAAGGTGTAGGACACTCCTTTTTCATGTCCTACACCCCTTTTTGGAGAGGAAGAAGCTTAGGATGCGGGATTGGTTGGCTTGGGACAACCCAAAAGGAAACACACCTCTTTTTTCATGTTCTCCACACCCTTAGAGGTATTTTTGGTGGGCTAGAACGAATTTAACATATTTGGACCATGGGGACTCTAGCCTTTAGGTTTAGGTTAAGTTTATGTCTCCTTTTATAATTCCATCTAGGTCCCTCCCCTAAAAGCCTATAAATAGTGGCTTCCCCTCATGTAATTA